AAAACCAGAGTTTCCAGCGACCAAGTCTCAGACCGCCGACCCTCGGGCTCACGCTCGGCGGTTTTTCAATCGCAGAAAAGTTTTACGGTCACGACGAGTCGGAAAAGTGATGGCATGACATTTACAGATTCCCCCGGTTGAATAGAGTGGAGGTTTCCGCAAAATCCTATACTGTCTCCTTGGTCAATTGTCCGCCTCGGGCATGTCTATGGCCCACTCGGAAGGGTCCAAATGACATGCTGGCAACAGACACGAAGGATGACTTATTATTGGGATATGATTCACGTGATTAAGAGAAGGTCTATTTCTTTTCTCTTTTGTGTGTTCTAGGGAGTTGATTTTGAAGAGGTTTTCTATTTTATTTGTTTCAAGTGTTCCATGCGTGCATATTCAAGTCCTGTGTAGATATATAGGTCTTGCGACTCCAAAGAAATGTAGCCAAAAAAACTCGATTCTTCAGGCTATACTAAGTGGATTAAATACTCGATTTTGAGCAATCGAATAGAAATCTCTAGGGCTATCTGTACCTAGGTAGTACTAGTATCTAGGTGGTTGATTCTTGCAACTGGAACTTGCAGAAGGCTCCAGTGATCGCCGGGCGGTTCCAGGGCTGCGGTCGTGTTGATCTGACTAAGGCGGCTAATCGCCCCAGTTAGTTAACACCTAAGTAGCTTCTTTGATCACCCTTCCCTCAAGTTGACATTGTCGCGTGGTCTACATCATGTGGATTCTTGAGGTGAGTTTGCAAATTCGACTCTTAAATATTGGGAATATCTTTTGCAAGATCCCCCCTTTGAATCTATCTCCTAATCACTGCACTTCTAGCAACTCGCGCGTCTTCTCGACAGGCCGCTCTTCCCATGGAAGAACGTCCTCGTGGGCTTCTCCGTCGGCCAGTTCGTTCTGGAGGGCCTTCTCACGCTCCGTCAATATAAGGTGCTTCAGCGTACCAAGGCTCCCAAGGTTCTCGAAGGAGAGGTCACCCAGAAGGTCTACGATCAGAGTCAGGTAGGCTATTCAAGGCTGAAAGAGTAATGAAACACTCACTAATAAACAACTCTGAATCCAGGCTTATGGTCGCGCAAAGGCCAAGTTCAGCATCTTCTCCGGTCTCTACGGTCAAATCCAAAATCTCGCTTTCATCTACGGCGATGTTCTTCCCAAGCTCTGGGGCGTTAGTGGCTTGTTGCTCGCGCAGTATCTCCCCGGTCGGTTCCAAGGCGAAATCTCGCAGACACTCGTATTCATCTTCGGTTTCAACATCCTCAGCACTATCCTCACGCTCCCGGTCTCATACTACCAGACCTTCGTGCTTGAGGAGAAGTTCGGTTTCAACAAGCAGACAGTTGGTCTCTGGGTTACGGATATGCTCAAGGGCCAGATGCTGGGCATAGTTCTCGGAGCTCCCATCATCAGTGCCATTCTCAAGATTGTCCAGACGACTGGAACTTCGTTCTTCTATTATTTGTGGCTCTTCGGTGTTTTCCTCCAGGTGTTCGCGATTACTATCTACCCCATCGTTATCCTGCCGCTCTTCAACAAGCTGTCCCCTCTCCAGCCCGGTGAAATCAAGACTGGCGTCGAGAAGCTTGCAGAGAAGCTGAAGTTCCCACTATCTGAGCTGCACGTCATCGACGGTAGCAAGCGCAGTGCCCACTCTAACGCTTACTTCTATGGTCTCCCCTGGAAGAAGCACATCGTCATCTATGATACCCTTCTTGAGAAGAGCGAGCCACAAGAGGTTGTAGCAGTTCTGGCCCATGAGCTTGGCCACTGGAAACTCAGTCACACCACCAAGCTCTTTGGCATTGCCCAGTTCCACATGTTCTACATCTTCTCTCTTTTCTCGGTCTTCGTCAACAACAAGTCTCTTTATCAATCCTTCGGCTTCATCAAGGAGCAGCCTATCATGATTGGATTCCTTCTGTTTTCTGACGCTCTTGCCCCCATGGATGCCATCGTCAAACTGCTGATGAACATTCTGAGCCGCAAGTTCGAGTTTGAAGCCGGTATGTTATTCGAAGCGATATCATCTATTCCCTAAATACTGATCTAATATCTCCTGCAGATGAATTTGCCCAAGGTCTCGGATTCTCCGATGAGCTTGCTGCCTCCCTCCTCAAGCTTCAGATCCAGAACCTGAGCACCATGGACGCTGACTGGATGTACGCCAGCTACCACTACTCGCACCCAATCCTGACCGAGCGTCTCGCTGCCCTTGGCTGGCAGGGTGGCAAGGTCACCAGCTCCAAGTCTGAGGATAGCGACAAGCCCGTCAAGGCCGCTGACCGCGAGCTGTAAATTCGGTTGTTGCTTTATCGGTATGGCCAACTCTCAATTATTGAAATTACGTCGAAGTTGGGTGCGGAATAGATTATGGGGGTTCAGGTGAGCGAGAGGCTCGAGGATTCCATTGAGTTGAATTGGGAAAATGGACGCTTTCAGATATCTATCTTTACAACTTTTCTTTTTCAAAAAAGACACTTTTTGTCTAGACATGGAATGCATACAGATATACAGGAAGCAAGCGAGCTTCAATAGCCGTAAATATAAGCCGGACACCGTAAAAGGTGACAGGGAAGACAGCAGAAAATAAAACAGAGTAGAAAAAACTCCAACCCGATGCAACAACGCCCATGGCTCAAACAGATTCGAAACAAGATAATCAATCCGAGTCGTCCACCTTCTTGTTCTTGGCCTTCTTCTCGGCCTGTCGTCGCTCCTTCTTCAAGCGCTTGCGCTCCTCCTTATCAATGCCAGACTCATCGTGCTCCTGCTCTTGGAAGGCCTCAGCCTCGGTCTCAAAGTCGGTATCCTTCATCTCAAGATCATTGTCGTCGTTCTCGTCCTGGTTCTCGTTCGCAGTCACACCCGCGGCAACATCCAGGTAATCTTCGCCAGGGTTGTTCTTGGCGACGGTCAAATCCCGTCCAAGGACCTCGCCCGCCAGACCGGCTTGCACACGCTTCAGATTGTGGAGGATGAGGTTTGGCGCTGAAGCAGTGGTGCGAGAAACGGGACCATGTTCGCTGATGCTAGAATTGGGCTGTAGAGCTGGGTCTTGAGCTGCGCGGGTCAAGTAGGCGGCCAGGAAATCGTGAGCGGCGGATTGGCTGATTGACTTAGTGCTTTGCACAGTGGTCGGAGGGAGAGATGAGGGGCCTTGGGCGGACATTTTTGTATGGGTAATAGCCTGCGATGGCCGATTGATCGGTTTTGTAGGATTTTTCGAAAACCGGGTGTTTGGCGCCTGGTGTTTGAGCTTTTCACTGCGAATTTGGGACCAAAGAGAGTCTTTGGATAAATCAATTGGGAGTTGCTCGGCGCATCGCAACAAAAAAGTTTCAGTGGCGCTAGTCCGGATCGGGTAACATATACTCTCCCATAAAAGGTGCAGTGCAGACAATCTTTTCGCAGGAGAGTATCGTAAAAGACAAAAACTAGAAATACCACATTTATAGTATGCAGCAATTCCTCATTTTTGAGCTCAATGCCAGTTTTAAATGCCATGTTGTTGCTCTTTAGTATCATCTAGGCGGACCCGCGCCTGCGGCTCCGCGCTTAATTTTCTTTCGACTTCCCGACACCGCGCCGCGAGCATCATCGAAGCCTTCCCAGCCTATCGTCAACCCCAACGACACCCGAGTTATCCCTCCTTTTTAAAATTCGGGCCATCATAATGCTTGGTTTTCGCTGCAGGGCTGTGCCCTCCATTCGAGCTGCTGTGTCCACTCCCCGGGCCCTGGTGAACAGGTACGCATGAACTCTCCGCAACATCAAATACCCCAAGCACGGCACTAACGACAGCCCTCCGCACTCCAGTGCTAGCCCATTCACACTGCAGACCAAGGCCACCAGCTCTGCAATCGTTTCCGCCAGATCTTTCTCCTCCTCTCTTTTCTCCATGCCGGTTCGCCCCCAACAACTACAGACCTTCTCCCGACTCCCGTCCACAAGCACGCCCACCACCCTCTCCTCGGTGTCCTCGCTGCTCTCCCAGCAATCACAACAGAGCCGTGCCTTCTCGGCAACTGCACACCTCGGCGTGAAGCGCAACACATTCAACCCCTCGCGACGAGTACAGAAACGACGATCCGGATTCCTGGCCCGGAACAAGTCCCAGAAGGGTCGTCTTGTCCTGATTCGGCGGCGCCTCAAGGGACGCAAGGCCATGAGCTGGTAAGCTCACCTTGTTGGGAAAGTTTTGATAGTGAGCAGAAGCATATCTTGGGGGTTGAGTGCATTAAACAGCGTGGCCCGGGGAGCTTGTCCACAAGTTGATGACAGATGAAGGTGGAAAGCTACCATTAGGGCTGGGCAGAACATGTCAGGTTTATCAGACCTTGTACTATATTATCTCTTCTTGAGTATGTGTGAGATCATACGCAATTCAGCAGTCTTTTTCTTCAGCTAGTGGGATCTTCTTGTAGATTAGGGACGAGCAGAGTGCTTCCAAGGTAACCGACTGGAGTGTAGTAATATGACAGGAGGTATAGACACCTGGGCATATCACATAACAGCGATTGAATTGGCCTTTAATTGGCTATTTTACTTACTACTTTTGCCCTCTGCAGGATGCCGTCTGCCAGAAGGAACATCATTCTTGACCATCAAATTACCCGTGGGGATTCTCACTGACCGAATGGCGTGTTACTATTAGTAGGTATTAGTCCTGGAGGTGTGCCTTCCTGTACCCGATCATGCAACGCATTCATCTCTTATTAATATGAGTGAGATTCTATTCACAGGCCAAGAAGCTACCTATAAGCTGCAGCCGCGAGGAGCCACCTGGGCATCGAACAGAAGATGATGCGAACTTTGGAAGATATAACCAGCTATTGATTTAGGTACTAGTCTGTCTTGGCCTCTCTGTAGAAAAGAGTGAGTGAATGCTACTAGTACTTTGCATAGGTTATATGCGTATCTCCGCAGAATTCAAGTTTGTCTTAACGTGTCTACCTAGCTACTACCAGTCCAATGCTTCTAAACGATCAAGACATTTACTCTTCATCTTCTTCGCTCTCGTCCGAGCCAGATTCAGAATCTTCCTCATCATCTTCCTCGTCATCTTCGTCTTCGTCTTCCTCTTCGTCGTTGTCACCAGCCTTGAGACCATAATCATCCTCAAACTCCTTCAGAGCTTGGACCTTTGGTGTGAAGCCAAATGCTTCAAAGCCTTGCTTGAGAGTCTATTCATATGTATTAGTACAAGCACGGCAAGGGAGTTTAGACTTCCGATATCAGAAACATGTGAACTTACCTCTTCCAGAACAGTGCCGCAAGTGACAACAAGGTTCGTGGTCTTCGGCTCAAAAAGCGGCAGGATGGTCTCACGAAGAGCACCCTTCACCTCATCAACACTGATAGCGCGGACCTTCTTCAGCATCTTCTCCTTGTAGTCGCTAGGCAGGTTGCGCACAACCTGGCGGATGAAACTGCCTTGGGCGGCAGTGCCGGCGGTCATCTGCTCGTTAGCATAGCCCACGACGATGCTGCTGATGGCACCCTCCAACATCAAGGGGTCGAAAGGCGAGGCACCAGATAGATGATCCTCAACAATCTGCTTGCTGGACTCGAATGCCTTGTGTGCATTCGGAGATCGGTACACATCGAAGTTCACGAAACCAGTGTCAATGTTGTAGGCGAAGTTGGTACCGTAGGCCAGACCCTTACCACGGACTGCAACCCAGAGGGGACCCTCCACAGCGTTCATGTAGGCGATGGCGACGAGCAAAGCCGGCAAGTTAGGATCGTCATAGGAGTCGAGACCCCGGCCAGTAGCGTAGGCATAGGACGAATCAACTGTCGGCATAGGAACGATGTAGGAAGTACCACCAATGGTCTTTCCTGCATCACTCAGCAGGGCCCGGCGGTTTGTGATGGGCTTCAGTTCACTGCTGGTTCCAAGACGGTCAACAAAAGGCTTCCAGGCGGAAACCGGTCGAGGGAGCTTCTCCAAATCGGCAACGACAACAACACGGATATTGTCGGGCTGGAAGAGCGACTTGCGGATTTCTTCCATACGGCTCACAATCTCCTCGGGCTTGTCGGCCAGAAGACGCTTGACACGCTTGAGGTAGCGGGCCTTCACCAGGGTGCTACGAGCCCGGGAGATGGATTCCTCCGCGAAATGAACCATAATGTGCACCGCCGCGAGCATGTCGTCACCACTGCGCTTGTTGTCGGGCACATCGGCCAGAAGTCTGGAGTTAATAGCGCGAAGTCTCTCAACATCGAAGATGGAGTTCCAGCACAGCTCTTGGATCCACGCGATAGCAGTCTCATACTTCTCAAGTTCGACCTGGAAGGAAACACGCAACATCTCGGAGTTGCCGAGGCTGCGAGCAGTTTCCATGGCATAGCCGACGGTGTCCTTCTCAAGCTCCACCACAACCTGTTCGAAGTTGATCGTCTTGCCATCTCGTTGAACAGGGATGTTGAAGAATGCCTCGGTATAGATTGAAAGCAGGGGGCGTAGTTGAACAGGTACGGACTGCGCGGAAATGAGGACTGCCATCTGCACGAAGCTACTTTCGATGTGTTCGAAGTGGATGAAAAGAGGTAGATCCGAGTGATCAGCATCCACGATCTTTTGGATCTTGTGGTCTGGGCGTCCAGCCTTCAGAGCAGCGCCAGATCGAGCCGTAGTGGTGTCCATGAAGTGAATAGACTCGGTTCCGGGGATAGCGAACTGGGCCAGAGTTTCCTCGGGGATCTCCCTGTCGTTCACTGCCTTGGCCTTCTCAAGCTTGTCGGCAAGTTCCTTGAGTCCCTTCTCGCCGAGACGCTCCTTCTGCGCAGCAACGCGGGCCTCTTCATCAGTCTTGAGCTTGGCAGAAAGCTTTTGGGATGGAACACCCAGAATTGTAACGTGGTGGGCATCGGCAATCCATTTGTTGATGAACTCCCGCCACTGGTCCTCGGACCACTTTCTAATCACGTCGTACTCCTGCAGAGTCGCTACATCTCTCAAAGTCGAGCCATCGCGCTTTCCATACAGGAAATCAGTGATGACATACTCGGCCAAAGAAGAAGCATTGCTCTCGGTGTTAAACTTCCACGCACGGCACTGGCGGTCAATGCACTCACTCATATACTTCATATCCAGAGCCTTCGTCATTGCCTCTTTCAGTATCTCGAAGAACCTCTTCTCAACTGAAGCAAGCTTGTCTGTCTCAACGCTCGTCATGGTGAAACGGATCTCCATACTAGGGTGATCATCGGTTGCATAGTAGACTGCGCTGGCAATTTGCTCTTTCTCAACAATGATGTTTTCCAAAAGCGAGGCAGATGATCCGGCCAAATATAACAGAGCGACGTTGAGAGCACCAGCTGTGAAATGATTAGTGTTTCTATCGAGCCTCCAAATATAGCTTGGTACATACACTGGACAGGGTCATTGCAATCCGGACCCAAGAATCGAATCTCAACTTCACCGAAATCCTCGTCTTCTTCAGGGAATTCAACGGTTTGAATGGTAGACTTGGTCAGTGCAGGCGCCTGCTTAGAATCCGTCCATGGTCTCTTGAAGGGGGCTTCAGGGCTCGGGATAACGTCCAAAATCGTATCTTCAAACTTGTCCAAAATTTGCAGCATGTCTTTCTGGTCCACTTCACCAGTAATGACCAGACAAAGGTTCTTGGGCTGGTACATCTCACGGTGGAACTCCCTAATCCGCTCAGCCGAGAGGACACGAAGTTGCTCCATCATTCCGCCGGTCTCGTAACGAAAGCCGACGCCGTCCGGGTAAGTGGCACGACGGGCCGCCAGGTCAATCAGCTCGGCCGCGTTGTTTTGAACACCTTGCATCTCGGAGTACACCACACCAGCGTCATTTCCGGCGCCATCAATGTGGTGAACTTCGGTATAGCAGCCCTCATCAGTCAGGGTAGGAGCAATAACATGCTCGAGGTAGATAGGCAGGATGCGGGCGAAGCCCTCCCAACCAGCTGTATCCAATGTGTACGCTGTGTGATCTGGGGCAGTCCAAGCATTGGTGCTGGAGTAAACCCGGGTGGCTAGCTTGTCTAGAAAGCCCTTGTACTGGTAGTTTCGAGATCCCATAAAGCAAAGATGCTCCAGTGTATGAGGAGCACCAGAATCATCGTGAATCTCGGTAGCAAGTACGAAATAACCATTTACCTTAGGTCCCTTCTGTCCAATGACCACGACCCGCATACCAGTGCGTTGAGATTCATACTCGACGAATTCACTGGGAGAGAGTAGTCGGGCTTAAACTGCTGAAGCAGTTTAAAATGGCTCGACATCTTGATCGGATTGAACCCAGTGAAAATATTTCGCCGGATATTGTAGAATCTATGTTTTTGTTAGCATTTCTGACCTATTATGAGAAAAACCAAAAAAAAAAAGTAATATGTCAGAATTGCGGTGTCTCTCATGCCCAGGTGGTCAACATATTTTCAATGCTAGCGCCGAGCAAGGTGCTCAAGCCATACTATGTGCCGTACACCTAATCCCAGGAGAAGATTTGGAATCTTCATAGCCAACCGGGAAGTTTGCAGGGAGCCATTCAGAAGACCGCCGACCACCTAGCCCTAGCACATAGCATCAGGTGTGACGTGAGAATCCGGCGGGGCACGAGATTGAGAAGTGGGGGAAGAAGGTGATTAGGGATCTGGGTAGTACCTAGGCATTTCACCAGGTAGAAAACTTACAGGAACCGAGTAGATGTCACTCGACTCAGACGACAGAACCAAGACACTGTGTGGGTGTGTCTGAGCTTGTGTGCTGGACCCAGGCGGAGTCCTTGCAAAGTTCCAAAGTTGGGTCCCGTCTCTTACAAAGCGAACGACCGGGTCTGACTATACGGACGTGTAGTTAAATAATACGGGGGATCCGTACACTCTTATACCCTGTCATCAACGATTTTCTAATTGGCCCATTAGGGATTTTTAAAATTGATTTCCTCTTTTTCTGGAATAGTGGGATCAGCCAGCCCTGAACTGTTGTTGCTGTTCTTATTCCCCTCAACTTTCAGGTGTGGGGCGGTGACGCCCAAAGTCACGGGTTGTTGACACGCTGTAGTGCTTCAACTTCAACCACTCTTCACTTCGACAACTCCCAAAGTCGTGTCGGCGCACATCCCTTTACCATGTCATCTGAGAACGAAGTCTGCCAGGCTGTCTTGGGCTTCGTTACAGAAGGTGTTTATCCTGAGGAGAATGTTGTCGCGGCCGAATTCCCAGCGACAGCTCTTTCGCAAGAGCTGGAGCTCATTGCGCAAGCTCGTGAACAGGTCGAGGCAAGCGGATTTGATTCCTCTATCTTGTAATATTTGCTAATCTCACTCTGTCTAATAGAATGAAATCAGCTCCTTGAGTCGCGAGAACACCTTCGATGCCGACGAGTGGATCGTCCAAGCAAAGCAACTACATGCGGATATCGAGCGCTCCCGAGTGACAGCGCGGGAAATTGTCGAGCAGCATGGGCAGACAGATTCCATTCGGTCCAAGGTCGAGGATGCGAGTGCGAAAGTAGGATTGATCGAGACTGAGATAGCCTTCAACGAGGCCGTGGCAGGTACATTGGAGGTGGTACAGCGACTATGCCAGCAATTGGAAGCTGCACGAGTTTCTCTGGCCAGCGGTGATATCACGGCTGCCATTGAACAGCTGGAGGCTATCCAGGCAGCTCTCGGGGACAACACTTTCTCCGCCAATACCAACGTAATGAGCATACTGACCCTCGAGGGTTCCCGGTTAAGGCAAGAGATTGAAGAAGCAGTCCGTCTGCGATGGTCTCAGCAACTTCATCTGGACCGTCAAAAAGGAGAACTTCGGATTGAGAAGGCTCAGGGTTCAGACTCTCTGGAAAGTACCATTTCGTCTATTGAAGAACTAGGTACCTTCACGGCCGTCAATGAGAAGTTCCAGCGAGACCTTATGACAATAATCATTGATCCGATTTTGCTACCTCGCCGTGACGGCAACTGTCATGCTGTCACCGTCACGGAGGCTGGCATTCATCTTGATTCAGAATCATCCAAGGCAGCTGTCGCTGAAACATTAGATCGCATTACCCGAGTCCTGAATTACTTACGACAGAACTTACCTTCTGCGGTTTCGGATACCATTCCTCAGTTTTTTCTCCCAGCTGTTGCTTCAAAGACGATCTCAGGGTGGCTGTCTCCTGCCATTCCAACCGACCTCAGTGGTCTCGATAAATTCGAGGAAACCCTGGACCTTGTCCTACAGCTTACAAAAACCATCGAATCATGGGGCTGGTCCGGACATGAAGAGCTTAGCGGCTGGGTTAACCAGGCTGCTCGCTTGTGGCTAGCTAAACGCCGGGTCGACTCGCTTGATAGTGTGCGCAAAGTCCTTGCGGCAAGCACAGGCAGCACTAAGCAGGTTGAGCGAGTTGAGAAAGAAACTGTTACCCAGGCCGATGAAGCGCTGTTGGAAAGCACCGCCACAAACGACTGGGATGCAGACTGGGACGATGATAAGGAGGATCTTACCACCGGAGAAACTGATACGCATGCCGAGGAGGACGAAGAAGATGTCAGCGCCTGGGGCTTGGACGATGATGCTCAAGATGACGCCGACGATGCCTGGGGATGGGGCGAAGACGAAGAAGAAGACAGTAAAGATGAGCAGGCCGATAAATCGCATAATGCTCCCTTATCAAAGCCGACCAAGGGAAAGATCGTTGTGCAGCCGCCCGCAGAAAAAGAGGTGGTGCTGAGAGAGGTTTACACCGTGACCGACATACCAGAGTCAGTTCTGAGGATTGTTAAGCAACAGATTACGGACTCTAAAGACATTTCCCAGCCACCGTAAGGATTCGAAAGCTCTAAAATCACTTACATCGCTGCATTGGGCTAACTGAGTACACTAGCCATTCCACTTCCCGTGTTGCTTCCTCCGGCGCTGGGCTGCTTGCGTTGCCGACATTGATTCTGGCTATGTTCAAAGCCACATCCTCTTCGTTCTATTCGCTCAAACTCAACTCTGGGCAGATGTATCTCTACAACGACAGCTTGTACCTTGCAGGTCAAGTTCGTGATTTGATAGAGGAACATGACCTCTCCAGACTCAACTCCGATGTGGAGTCTCTCGAAAAGTTTGGTAAATTTGCATACAGTAAGGAAATGCAAACACAGAGTACTATTGTCACGGACCTCCTCGATGGGGCACAAGGTTTTGGACAGTGCTCTGAGCAGCCGTACAGAACAGAGTGCCAGAATGCCGTGAGCGCCGCTGTTGACCGAATCCGTGATGTCTACAAGGAATGGCAGCCGATTCTATCGCATTCCGCCTTGCTTCAGTCTATTGGCTCTCTGATATCTACTATGACCAGAAAAGTCATCATTGATGTCGAGGATCTTGGTGATATCAGTGAAGACCAGTCGAAGCAACTCGTCCAGTTCTGTAACCAAGTTTCCAAACTCGAGGACCTTTTTACGCCTGAGACAACAAGCGATGCCGATGCTGTACCAGTCACTGCTGTATATGTTCCGAACTGGCTTCGATTCCAGTACCTGATCAACATCCTTGAAAGCTCTCTCGCTGATATCAAATTCCTTTGGTTGGAAGGTGAATTAGGTCTGGAGTTTTCTATAGACGAGGTGGTCGATCTCATTGAGGCTCTGTTTGCCGAGTCTGATTATAGGCGTCGGGCTATTTCAGAAATTCGCCGAGCTCCAAGAGGATGAGATGCAGCGAGATAGTTCGTTTCTTAGAAACTATTAACAAAGTCATATTTCCCATCAAATCCAACACGCAGGAAGTAGTAGAAGTGTAGTGGGCGGGACAATCTCCGCGCTTTTTGCCTAGTGTGCCGCACCGGTCACCGTATTTTTTCCTCATCGGACCCGCGCAGGCTTGACCATTTTGCGACAGCCATCTGCAGCGACCAACGATCGCATTCTGCACCAATTCCTGCCCATAATGAGTGACGATCAAGGATCTGCTGCCGAGCCTGTCCAAAGACAGGTTCGTGTGCAACTTACGAGCAAACAGGAGGACATTGCCCTTCCTGAATCCACCGGACCCATTCTCGTGCCTACCGGTAAGAATAATTTGATACCTATATGTGCTAAAGGTGAAATTGTGCTGACACCCTGTTTTTCACAGGCCTGCGACGTTATGCCCTCTCGACATTGGTGAACAACCTTCTGAGCAGCGAGAAGCCGATCCCATTCGAATTTTTGATCAACGGAACTTTTTTGCGTACCTCGATCGATGAATACTTGAGTGCCAATGGTATCTCCTCTGAGACGACTCTTGAGATTGAATATGTTCGCGCTTTGATTCCCCCGCTTCACATTGCCTCGTTCCAGCACGATGACTGGGTCAGCGCAACCGATGTGCTCTCTGCAACCGCACCTGCCGCAACCTGGGCCTCTGGCGCCACTTTCTCCAAAGGCCAAGAGAGAATTCTTTCCGGTTCTTATGATGGATTCCTTCGTGTTTGGAACATGTCTTCTGAGACCATTGCCACTTCCCCTGCTGCTACCGAGGGTGGCCACACGGCCTCTATCAAGGCTGCCAAATTCGTGTCTCCCAACCAGATCGCTTCGGCTTCCCTGGACCGCACTGTTAGGCTGTGGAAGTACACCGAGGAAGCTGGTGGCTTCTCTGGAAAGATTGCTCCTCAGCTCGAGCTCTATGGCCACAAATCCGGAATCGAGTCTTTGGCCGTGCACGCGCCATCTAACCGTCTTCTGACCGGCTCGTCCGATCACAACGTTGGATTCTGGAGCACCAAGAAGGCTGATGCTCCTGCTGCCCCGGAGAACTTGCTTCCTTCTAACGCTGCTCGCAACTCCAAACGACGTAAGCTGAACTCGTCTGTCAGCACTGCGCAACGCGGTCCTCTGGCCCTTCTTTCAGCTCACACCGCTCCCGTTTCGGCTGCCATCTTCGACGCCAGAGATTCCACTGTTGGATACTCTGCATCTTGGGACCACTCCCTCCGCACTTGGGATCTAGTCACCGCTTCCCTGGTTGATACTCGTACTACTGCACACTCGCTACTCTCTCTGGAGCACCTTCCCGACCACAACCTTCTCGCAGCTGGTACCTCTGCTCGCCACATTACTATGATTGATCCCCGCGCCTCTGCCACCACTGTTGCTGCTATGACTCTCCGTGGCCACACCAACGCTGTTGTCAGCTTGGCCCGCGACCCGCACAGCTCACACGGTCTGATTTCCGGTTCCCACGATGGAACTGTGCGCCTGTGGGACTTGCGCAGCACCAAGACCGACAAGGAAGGTATTGTCGGTGAGAGTGTGTACTCCATCCCCGCAAGAGTCTTGAGGAGGAAGGCAAGGCGGACTCAAAGCGTGTCGGAGGAGAGGGCGTCAAGGTGTTCAGTGTGTGCTGGGACGAAACCGTCGGCATTGTGAGCGCGGGTGAGGACAAACGGATCCAGATCAACCGTGGTGAAGGTGTTCTGTCCTCGGCAAAGGAGTAGACTTGCGCATACGGGCAACGGCGTTTTTAGATTGTGGTCTTATGTCAAAAGTTGAAGTTTCTGTCTTGTTTCTGTTTGTTTGCAGCTTAATTTAGCCTATGGATGTGGATAGGTATATAGTACTATTTCATATGTAAATCTACCATTGCTATCACTACGTCAAATACACTACCTAGGTAATAGGTGTAAGAGGAGTCTTTCCAATTTGTATTTTGAACGAGTTATAATACATTGATAGAGGGTAAAATCACACATAGGCTGGCATGTAACCGTATGCCAGCAATCAAGAAAAACGCCATGTCCATGCCTCTCACAAAATTGTGAGGTTATCCAATAACGTTTAAAGAACAAAGTCAAGGCCTGCTACCCTTGGCTTACATACGACGCTCCATTCGGTTCAGTTTGACCGGAGTTTTAATCTGGATGGAACTGTTAGCTTTGCATTTTCACACGAACTCTTGGGCCAATCCATGAGCTTGAGGCTCTCTACCAGCCGGCATGAGACATTCCAGTTGATTGCAAGCCCAATTTACCATGCCATAGCCACCAGAGCCAAACATTGGAAGTAAACCTACCTGGGTACGGGTACGCTGTCCGCGAACAGGAAGACCCAGAGCATGACGACGGCCACGGTATGTTCCGGTCTCCTTCAGACGCTTGATATCGTTCACAACCTCTCTGCGCAGATCATTCTCAATCTTCATGTCCGACAAGACGGCGGTCATGTCAAGAACCTGCTTGTTGGCCAGCTCGCCGACTCGGCAGGTTGGGTGGATGTTGAAGCGGGCCAGGAGGCGGGAAGAGGTGTGGTTTCCGATACCGAAGAAGGACTCAAGAGACTTCTAGAAAGCGCAGATTCAAGTTAGTTTGCAGGCCAATTGGTCGAGATCGGGGGTCGTGTCGTGTTAGGGTGTGAGGGCAGAGGTGTTGCTTGCCTTGAGCAGGTTCCGCTCGGGGAAGTTGACGCCGAGGATGAAGACCTTGAAGTTTGTTAAAAAATATATTAAATCGAGAGAGACTTTGAAAGGGACTGTACCATATTGCCGGGTAATAGATTGTCTGATCGTTTGATACTCGGTTCAATTGACGCTTGTCCGCGATGCGCGGGAGAAATCATCCGGCAACAACGTTTCTCCGAAGCGTGGTCTTCTCCGCACGCCATTGCAAGCTGGCCTCCACTCTTGCTCCTTCATCACATCTACACAGAGTAGTGGCAATTTGCAATCATGAATTTCCGCAACCTCTTCCTCTCCCTTTTCCTGGTCTTTGCGGTCAGCTTCGCCCTGGTCCAGGCCGAAGATGCCAAGAAGGAACCTCGTGGTCCCAAGATCACCAACAAGGTATCCAACAAAAGTCTCCATTGTTCTACTACCAATGCTAATTGATTGCTGCAGGTCTTCTTCGATATTAACCATGGCGATGAGTCCATGGGCCGGATTGTCATGGGTCTTTATGGAAAGACTGTCCCCGAGGTTCGTTACAATCCAGTGTCATGCACGAGAACGCTATTAACAATACTCCTGCACCCTTAGACCGCTGAGAACTTCCGGTAAGACGATTGCGACGAAACCGTTTGGCTTCTACATGGATCCAATTCTAATACTTCCCCAGCGCTCTGGCTACCGGTGAGAAGGGCTTTGGTTATGAGGGCTCCACTTTCCACCGTGTGATTAAGGACTTCATGATTCAGGGAGGTGACTTCACCAACCATGACGGTTTGTTTACTTCCTGTGCAAGAGCGATAATCCAGAGTACTGATGAATGAATGATACAGGCACTGGTGGCAAGTCTATCTATGGTAACAAGTTCAAGGACGAGAACTTCAAGCTTCGCCACACCAAGAAGGGTCAACTGAGTATGCAATCCATCTCGGTGATTATGTTGATTGAAAGACCGTGAGAACTGACGATATCTCAGGCATGGCCAACGCTGGCAAGGACACCAACGGCTCGCAGTTTTTCATCACTACGATCATCACCTCGTGGCTCGATGGCCGTCACGTTGTCTTTGGTGAGGTCCTTGAGGGCTACGACATTGTCGACAAGATCCAGAACGTCGACAAGGCCCGTGGTGACAAGCCCTCGACCCCCATCACGATCGTGAAGAGTGGCGAGCTGAAGTTTGAGGCTGAAGCTGAGGATGTCGAGGCCGAAGATAAAGGTAGCCGCGACGAACTCTAAATCAGCAGCTGGGTCCTCGCTCTGCTCTCCTGCTTCTGGTTGACGGTGGCTGATGATACTTGCTCCCCTAAGAATCCAACCCCGCACCAACGCCAGCCCCCGAAGTTCTTCCCTCAGTGGAGGCGTCACCCTCTTACCCGATGCAGCCTGTCTGGATCCTGTTCGGACTGATTGTCTTGGTGGGTATCTACGTTTGCCGCCGCAACATCCGCCAGCAGCAGCAGCAACGGAACAGTGAGATGAAGGAATTTGATGCTTAAGTGGAGTGAAGTGCAGATAGCAGATGGCGCAAGAATAGTATAGCATACTTCGCGGAATCCATCACGTTTTGAACATGCACGATTGGAGGATCAACATGACGTCTGTGGTGTTCTCACTCCCACATGAGCCTCGTACCTACATGTACATGTAGTGTGTATGCAGTAACTAACTACATGTCTGTAATGTACATCGTAGATAGCCTGTACGTACCTAGGTTTTAGAGATAGCAAAATTATACAACCAGGCATCCTACCCGGGTAGCTACTCAGTACCCAGAGCTCATCGTTAGGATCTTGGAAGTTACCTTAGCAGAACCACAGAACCACTCTATGGTGGTACTGGTACTTGGTTTCAAGCTGCGTAGATCACAGTCATCGGGTCCACTTTGAGGTAAGCCAATCACCATCTTGGCCACCTTACTTAGTCAATCCCCTATGGGGCTAGACAATTAGTGGTTACTTTAGTACGCAAAAAAAAACTCTGAGGTACGGTATATTACCAGTATTAATACTTACTCTTTACCAGTACCCACATATACCTTGCCAGTACTTCGGCAGCCCTGATACACTCGCCATACCAACAGTACCTGGCTCGACCACCGGACACACAGGCCACAGCACGGTGACCCCGTAACCCGTGAAGTACATGATTTGCCTCCTTCCCACAGACCGCAGAAAACCTCCTTCTTCATCATCCCTTTTTCACCACTCCACTCACCTTTTCTCTTTCTTCTTCTCGGTGCTCATAGAGTATTTAGAACTGGGAGGATTTGCATTTTTTCGTCCTTCTATTCCCTTCTCTTGTTAATTTGCCTCTCACTTTTCTCTAAGTGGGAAAAAAAAAACGAGAGCACTTCATTCCGCCTTCTCGTCTCTTGAAGGTATCACATTCTCTTCTTTGCAAGTGTCGCACTTATTCGATCGCTTGCATCTTATCGAAACACTGGAATCTCACTTCAGTGATTTTTTTTTGACCAAAAAAACTGTTCGCATTTCCCAAACCTTGATTCCTTTTCTATCTCACCCCCCTCCCAAAAAAAAACCCACAGCCCACCTTACGACCCATTACTGATCAATACATTTTCCTTCTATGATAGAAATTCATCCAACCAACCGCAAACATGGCCGACGGACTTCAAATGGGCAACTTGTCCATCAACGACTCCCAGCACGCCCCCCAGGGCAACGGACCCCCTGGCCGTGCCGCTTATATCCCTCCTCACCTTCGTGGCCGCCCCAACATGGATGGTGCTAGTGCTCCTCCTCCTGGCCCCGGTGCCGGTGCTCCTCGGTACGAACCCTCAAAACCCCCCCATGCCCGCAGGCTGTCACTAATACTTCGGTTTTCAGCGACGGTCCTCGTGGCAACTGGGCAAATGCTAACGCTCCTGATTTCAGCCCTCGTCCCGCCAACGGTAATTCAATCTGGAACCCAGATGGTCGAGCCCCCCCGGCCTTTCGATCCCCATGCTTACGGACATCCAGGAAGTGCAGGTGGCAGCAGTGGTGGTGGTGGTTATGCCGGTGCCTCTGCCCGCGGTTCGGGAGATGGCCAGTGGCGCGACGGCAAGCACGTCGCCGGTCCCGCCAACGCTCGTCTCGAGCGCGAACTTTTCGGTGTCCCCAACGACCCCACCAAGCAGCAAACCGGTATCAACTTCGCCAACTACGACGATATCCCCGTTGAAGCTTCCGGTCAAGATGTCCCCGAGCCCGTTAACGCTTTCACCAACCCCCCCTCTCGATGACCACCTGATCGCCAACATCAAGCTCGCCAGCTATGTTGTCCCTACCCCCGTCCAGAAGTACTCGATCCCCATTGTGATGAACGGTCGCGATCTGATGGCTTGTGCCCAGACCGGTTCCGGAAAGACCGGTGGTTTCCTTTTCCCCATTCTCTCCCAGGCTTTCCAGACCGGTCCCTCTACTGCCCCTCAACAGGCTTCTGGTCAGTTCAGCTACGGCCGTCAGCGCAAGGCTTACCCCACCTCCCTCATTCTCGCTCCCACTCGTGAGCTGGTCTCCCAGATCTTTGACGAGGCACGTAAGTTCAGCTACCGTTCGTGGGTCCGCCCCTGTGTCGTCTACGGTGGTGCCGATATTGGCTCCCAGCTGCGCCAGATCGAGCGTGGTTGCGATCTGCTCGTTGCCACCCCCGGTCGTCTCGTCGATCTGATTGAGCGTGGTCGTATCTCCCTTGTTAACATCAAGTACCTGGTTCTTGATGAGGCTGATCGCATGCTGGACATGGGTTTCGAGCCCCAAATTCGCCGCATTGTCGAGGGTGAGGATATGCCTCGCGTTGAGGACCGCCAGACTCTCATGTTCTCGGCCACCTTCCCCCGTGATATCCAGATGCTGGCCCGTGACTTCCTGAAGGACTACATTTTCCTGTCGGTTGGCCGTGTCGGTTCTACCTCCGAGAACATTACCCAGAAGGTCGAGTACGTCGAGGATCACGACAAGCGCTCCGTTCTGCTGGATATCCTCCACACTCACGGCACGACTGGTCTGACCCTGATCTTCGTCGAGACTAAGCGCATGGCCGACTCCCTCTCCGACTTCCTGATCAACCAGCGCTTCCCTGCCACTGCCATTCACGGTGACCGCACCCAGCGTGAGCGTGAGCGTGCTCTGGAGTTCTTCCGTAACGGTCGCTGCCCCATCCTGGTCGCCACTGCCGTTGCTGCTCGTGGTCTTGATATCCCCAACGTCACTCACGTCATCAACTACGATCTGCCCACTGACATCGATGACTACGTTCACCGTATCGGTCGTACCGGCCGTGCTGGTAATACCGGTATTGCCACCGCTTTCTTCAACCGTGGCAACCGTGGTGTCGTTCGTGACCTTCTTGACCTCCTCAAGGAAGCTCACCAGGAGGTTCCCGCTTTCCTCGAGAGCATTGCTCGCGAGGGCAGCAGCTATGGTGGTCGTGGTGGCCGTGGCGGCCGTGGCCGTGGTGGCTCCGCCGCCACCCGCGATGTTCGTCGTATGCCCCCCCCCTGGCGGTTTCGGCGGCGGCTACAGCTCTACCCCATCATACGGTGGCAGCGGTGGTGGCTACGGTGGCGGTGCCCCCTCTTACGGTGGTAGCGGCGGTGGCAGCGGCTACGGCGGCGGTGGCGGTGGTGGTGGCGGCAGCTACGGCAACCCCTCTGGCGCTGGTGGCCCCTCTTCCTGGTGGTAAACCAGTCGTGGTCTGATGATATGGCCGTCGGGTCTGATTGGCTCCCATTTCTTATTTCCTTATTGTCTTTCGTTGACGGATACGATCAGAACGAACCCCTGAGCTCTTTTCTCCTCGCTATTTCTCGGGGACGGCTTTGTCATGACTGCGACGACTTTCCTATGCTTTTTCTAGATGTTACGCTATTCTGTCTCCTTATTGCTCGCATTTGTTTGGCTCTTTTCATCTTTTACTGTACTTGCTTTATTTGCTTTTCCATTTCGCACGTTTTCCACGGCTCTCAATCGGCCTTGTTTAAACACGGGGCGTTCGAGCAGTTCTGATCTCCTTTTTGTTGCTCATGGTCATTTATGATGACGATTTCTTTTCTCTTCGAGCAACCGGCGATTGGCACTGCATGAACATCATAGAATGCGTTGTCTTTTCTGTGTCCGCTCTCATCAGATACCCCTTTTGTTCGAGCTATCCCAACGGGGATAATGTTCGAATGACGCGCGCGCCGAGCAGGAGAATGCCGGCTTTTCATCTCCCTCGAAAAGTGATCTTTTATATCTGCATCCATCTTCTCGGTGCTGTCATGACTGATAGCGTCGGTATCTCGTGGCGGACCTTTTCTTTAATGCGTTGCTGCAGCCCTCGTGTGTGCCGCGTTTTTTCTCGCAAACCAAAAACCGCGCTTTCTTTCTCCGGGCTTTGCTTTTTTTTAGAACTTTTACAGGTGTGCAGCCGTCGGCGATGGGGTGCTTATCATGGCTCTCTTTCTGGTGCGGATATCTATTTACTTCATCGTTGATGGTCGACTGGTGGAGGGGTTTCGAATGGGAATTCTTTTGCATTCTGTATGGCGTTGGCTTGACTGCATCCACATGTCCTCTGGGTCCCCGCGGAGGCTTAATGGTTTCCTCATGGGTTCTCTTCATATCTCCTTCACTTTTTTATGGATCCGGGCGGATGGGACGCTGTCACCGGCGCTGAATGACTCGCTCACAGCTATCATGGTTTTCATCCGTGGATGGAATGGCCTGGTAGGAAGAGCGAGCGAGGCCGCGAGTTTGAAAGCCGTCTTATTTCAATTTTATTGAAAAGTTGTTTCCTAATTGATTCTAGTAGAGTGATCCTCGTAAGCGTAGTAGTGGGTGTTAGTATGTCTTTGTGTTCTAGTAGCTTTCAACTTACGTAATCCATTTTTCATTAGTACTAGTTACTTAACATTTACTTTTGAATAAGAAACCAAGAAATATATCCGGAGATTATTTTCAGGTACTCTTAGTACTAACTACCTAGGTACTAGTTACGACTCCTAATTACTCTCACAGTGGTTGTACCGTACTCCGCCTCCCAGATGCGGGTAGCTATCATTGCCGCAGGCCAAAGTTCACAATTGCGGCTTCGTCCCTTCCGGCTCATCCTCTTCCCCTTCACCCTATCCAATCTCCTCCTCGCTTATCCTCTCCCCTCCACCCTCCCCCCATTCAACTTCCTCGTCCATCCTTTCTTGGTCGCCTTTCATTTAGGGGCGCCGTCACTGCCCCCGACATCGTCTCCCCCGGATCTCAGGAGCTTTCACACCCACACAAAGCGACTCCCTTGATTGTCGTCCACACTCAATATGGCCGAGGTCGAAACCCCAGCAATGGATGAATCATTTGCTATTTCCGAGGTAGCAGACGACCATACCCACGGCGCGACGGCCAGCGCGACGGTTGGTACAAGACGCCAGGCAAATGGGACGATTGGTTCCGTCTACTCTGGAAACAAGATTCGACATTTGAAAAAGGAGGATGGCATCCCCCTGTGGCGAAAGGATATCCAATACCAATTCCTTAAACTCGTCTTCGAAGACAAGACTCCCGTCTTCACAAGATACCCCGACGGAGAGAAGAAGATGGACTTTGCTGACATCTACATCGACGCGATGGCGAGGAGCAGCAAGACCAGTAAGATCTTGAAGGACAAACTGCAGAACGACAAGCCCGCGGCTATCAGCATGGCAATGGTGTGCCTGTTGGTGAACTTTGGTCGCATGAACACAACTCTGAACTGTAAATTCCTCCACTCTCCCCTGCGGTATGTCGCAGTACTGACCACTCCTCTTTTCTACATTATAGTTTTCCCCGAAATGCGTGCTCAATTACGAACCTACCACTCAATCCCTTCTCTCCAGGCCCACCAGGACTCCAACGCCTATAAGCAACTACAGGATGCTCCGCGTTTAAAGTCCATCCTCAAGGGTGCCTCCGAGGATGTCGATCAGCCAAACACTTTGGAAAAGATCAAGCAGCTGAACGGGCCCAGAACGAATCCCGTCAACCTTATCTTTGTCCTGGCACAATATGCCCCTAAAGTCTCAGAAACACATTTTTTCCCCCCGCGCGATTTCTTCGACTTGGTCATGCGATCTACACTGAGCAGCGAAAGCCGTGCTAGGGCTTTTCTGTGGTTAATGTGGTGGTATCTGGAGAGCGATTTTAGCCGCGAGGCAGCTTTGAACAATCCCTTTGGTCCCGGCTTAGAAGGAGACGGTGCTGATGGCATGCCTCTGAAAGTTCCCGCTTTCGAGAGTTTAACAGAGGAGCAAGCGAACGAGGAAAACATCGATACCCCAGAGGAACTGGAGTATGGGGAATCCAAAAGGCTCGAACGAAAGCGGATTTTGGAGGATGAAGAACCGCTTCCCCGAGTACCAAAACGTCCGAAGAAAGGTACGAGGTTATGCATACATTACGTTTGGCATCTTTACTAACTCACTTTTTCTACCAATAGACTTCGGTTTGGATGAAGACTCCTTTGCGGGAGACTACTCTGGTTTGGGAGGACGAGGCTCTGCCATGTCTACGCCTCTCCATCCTTCTGCGAAGCGCAGTCTGGATGACGATGATGATGAGTTAACCCCCGGGAACTCCTCTCGGCCACGGAACAAACAAGCAAAGCGTGAATCATCTCTCAACCGAGCCGTCGGCCAGCAACGGCTTATTTTGAAAACAAGAATGGATCACACCCCTGATGCTTCGCCTGCCCCTCCGGGCTCTAATCATCCGGTATTAAACCGATTTATTGCCGAGCCCTCACTCTCACAGGCCCCAGGCCGCCGGCCACGTCCACTTACACAGCACCAAATTGCGGTTGAGCAAAACCGTCGTCAGCGTATTGAATATCTATTGGCTAAGCGGAGGTCTACCTCATACCGCATGCTTCGTTCTAAGCGCAATGCCGAAACTCCTTTCGTCCGATACGGACGGCTGGTGCAGGGGCTGCCAGATGGTTATGACACCGAAGATGAAGAAACTTCCTGGGGCAAAGGTGGTCTTCTCCCGAATCCCAATGAAGAAGACGACTACGGCGAGTGCGCTAGTTTCTTCCTCTCCGTGGTGCGAAAAGCAGCTCGACGACTCGATCGTTGGGACTACGACGATGCCAACGGTCCGAGGAAAGACCGCCTGAAAGAGCGTGAGGAGCGACAGATGGCTAAAGCTGCCATGGAGGCAGATGTCCGAGCTGCAAGCAACCGATCTCGTGCACGCCCTGCGCGTGGTGGTGCTGCTTCCAAGCGAAAGTCTACCGGACCTGGGGCCACGCCCGGAGCTGGCAAAAAGACAGCCGCAGGACGCTTAAAGGGTGGCCGCAGCCGCCCCTCTGGTGTAGCTGGTGCTGCCTCCGCCGTGGACACGCCGTCTTGGTACCCCGACAACGGAGAGGTGGACGGAGAGTTGGATGATTTGGACCGTGAGCTTCTAGGCGAGGGGTCTGCCGATGAAGACGGGGCCCCTCGTGTTGGAGACGATGGCGATTCTTCTGATGAATCTGCAGATGATGACGGGGACGAGGATGAGAACCTGTCCACCTATGACGGAGCAAATGGCTACGCACGCCACGAGAGTTCGTCCCCTGTGCCGTCAGGGGCAGCCGAACGACGTGAAGACGGAGATGAGGCGATGGAAGAATAAATCTACTCTGAAACCGGCGTTTTCTTTTCTTTTCCTTTGTTTCATGAGATAATATTGCTGGACGAACCCATGGATTGTGAATTTCTAGGTAACTGGGGGCTTTTGATATTTGTGCTGGACTGTACACTCTTTGGGCGATGATGGTGCCCTTGACATGTGTTCTCCTATGTTTTTTCTATATTGTTCTCAAGTGCTTTCATTTTCGAATGGCAGCATCTGTAAACCTACTGACAGCTTGTCACTTTCTTCCCGATGTCCCAAGCACTTGAGCTGCCCTAGTAGAGTAAGAAATTACTAGGAAACGCGCCTATCCCTGGAAGTGTTATGGAGAACTTGAATCTATATAAGAAAAAGAGCATTCGCGTTGATAAATCAATGCCACTCTTGTACTAGTATTTTGAATACCTACATACTAGTATCTATTGTAGATAATAGTATTTTATACCTAGGTAATTGAGCCCTGGAGGTATTGCCCCTAGGTGTTCTACTAGTGCTAGAACCTCAATTTTCAAGCTATGTTAAAATCTAACACCAACAGTCCTGGAGGGCTCCGAGTCCCACCCCCATACTATGCCTAGGTATATTAACCAGCACTTGGGCACGGGCTTGCCAAGCTTGAATATGGCGAACAGTCATGCTTAGCTACCCCAGATACAACCGGGATCTAATAGTCAGAGGTTTGACACATGTTAGACTTGTGGCGCATTTATAACTCGTATCTTGGATTGTGTGTTTGGGGGGGATTGGCTGGATCAACCCCGCACTATGCTTCGAGGATTTTATAGCTCAAGTACAGTTTGATACAAGAATACTGACATGAACAAGGAATCGCTTGGATGCCATCATTACCTATTAATAATTCCATCTCTATGTAAGATTGTAAAGAAATGGTCGATGCTCTCTTTATTAGCCAGGTGTTGGTAGCGTAGGGTTGAAAACGTCCGGAATCTAAATCCGAACGAACTCACAAGCTCTACATAGTCCCAGTCAATGCTCATCTGGCTTGCGGATGGTCTTGGTGTAGTTGAAGTATTTATCTTCAAGTCAATTCTCCGT